GGGGGGGGGGTGTGCAGGTGGTTGCCGAGTCGTATGCGGAGCTGCTCAAGGCGGCGGCAGGCGGCGGCGGCAGTGGGGCCTCTGCATCTGCATCTGCTGCTGCCGCCGCTGCCGCGCCTGCACTGGACAGCATGACGGCTAACGCCAAGCGGCACGGCATCGACACATACGTACGCTGGCTGTGTGCAGCATCGCTGATGGTCGTGTGTGCATATGGTTGGGTTCTGCAGATCTACGCTCCGCCGTCCGGCCGCAAACAGGTGTGGATGGGGATGGATGGATGGATGTCTGCTTGGTTGGATGGATGGATCTCTCTCTTCTGCACTGGCCTGGCCGCAGGAGTTGCGTGTGCGTTGGAAGGACGAGAAGGGCTTCGAGAAGATGCGCTCCTGGGGGATCCGCAAGGTCGGTCAGATACACAGAAGGAACCAACACACGACGTAGCACATCCATCCAGCCATTGTGTTGTGTTGTGTTGTGTTGTGTTGTATTGTGTTGCGTTGTGTTGTGTTGTGTTTTGGGTGCAGTATGGTCTGACGGAGGCGTCCCGACTCGCCGATGAGGTCGTCGAGGGCATCCTGGCTCAGCTCACGCACGAGGACTCGGCCAAGCGGCAGATCGCCGCGAAGAGCAAGGCCAAGCGCACCAAACCCACCACCAAAGGCAAAGCCACCAACCAGCAGGTACTTCTCTACTACCTCGGGCCTAGGGGACGAGACGACAACACGAAGTGCAACAAGCTCCCATTGTGTGTCATGTGTTGTGTGTTTTGTGTTGCTGTCCTTCGTCGCCATGTGTGTGTGCAGGGCGTTTCGTGTGGTGTGGATGATGATGGCGAGGATGTCGACGTGGAATCCCTCATGCACACCACCGGCACCACCACCGACAGCGCCACCACGAGCACTGCTGCTGCCCAAGACGAGAACAATAAGGGCAAGGATAAGGACGACCGTGCCGCCCACGGCCAGGCCCCCGCTCTCCGCCCCCGCGGCAGACCCAAGAAGGCGGCATCGCCGGCCGCTGCGACCGGCAAGACCAACAGCAAGGCCAAGGCTAAGAGGGCGGGGGGCAAGAGGCCGCCGCTGCTACCGGTGGGCGTGTCTGCGGCTGGAAGAGGATGCTACACATACACCCGTGTCGCAAGTGCTGACATGTGAGCCGGGGAGAGAGGGG